GCCTTGGCGTGAATACTTTTAGAGAAGAAAATGTAGGAAAAAGCAAAGTAGAGACTGGATATCAAAGAGCCATCTGATACCTGCTTTTCAGCTCCCAAGATGGCACTTGGAGTGGGCAGGGTGTTGTGGGTGGAGTCCGGTCTTTATTCACACCCTTCATCTTGCACATTCTACTTCACTCATACAGCTGAGTTTTTCATCTGACAACCTAAGGACATCAGGAAATAAGATGCTCAACCCAGTCACTTGAGCTAGATCTGACAGTAAATACAAGGACATTTGAAGTGGTACAATTAAATGTAAATGTTCATAAATGCACACTTATTGAATTAGTATTTAGTTCATACTAATAGGGTGTGAGGGCCCTAGAACACAGAGATAAGAAGAAAGAAATTTAATTGTTCTGAGTAGTTTCTTAGACCAGTTGGTTTCAGGTAATAAAACTCCCTGTAACTTGTAAAATTCAGAGGAAAATGAGAATGGGATGACAGATAGCGTTATAGAAAGGTACTTCAAAAGTTCATGGAAAAGTAGAATTCAAAGATAATACGAATCTTTCCACAGACTTTTTGGAGTATCCTCATATAATGAAAATCTGAGCAGGGCACTGTTTATTCACTAGTATGTGAATCCTAATCAAATGCCTTCCCATGTTTTTCAGTTTTGTTTTTAGAATTTTAGATTCATTAAAATGAAAGCCTAACCTAGGGTACTTTATAATGAGTGACTCTGTCACCGGTAGGGTGGAAAACATTTATCAAGGGTCTTTTTCCTCTGGCTATCATTTTTCATATATCAACTCACTCTGAATTTTAAGCACAAGGGTATTAGTACTATTTTTCAAATTAGACCTTGGAATAGGAACTGTCATTTTTCTAAGACTTAATGTTCCAACATGAAACTGATTGCCTTCTTTTGTAAAATATTAACATTTAAACCATGACTGACTTTTCTCTCTCTCACCCCTTCCCATTTTAGCTCCACGGTGCAATGTATGGAAGTGGAATCTATCTTAGTCCAATGTCAAGCATATCGTTTGGTTACTCAGGTAATCCTGTATTTCATTTTAACCTTCAACTTAATTAGATTTTTATTTTTTTATTGTTATATATTCTAGGCACAGTTGTCTACCAAGTGACTGAAGCTTATCAGATATGTTTGTGTTAAGTTCGTTTGATAAATGTCAGAAACAAAAGCAAAGCTCAAATATCATGAATTTATAATACTTCCCCT